AAAAATTGTACACAACAAATAACTTCACTGGACTTAGCAAGGTAGAAAGCATGAAGCTATAGAGGGAGGCAAAATTATTGAAAGCACCACTTACTGCAGCTTTCCCTATCATAGTGTCTCAAGATTTTGGGGCCACAGTTACCATCAGGCCCAACATCATTGCCAGTGGTAGGGATACTGGGAGTTGTAGGCCAAAAATCTGAAAAGCACCAGCTAGGGGAAAGCTGTCATAGCAACTAAGCAGTGCTTTAATTCAGATGGGTCTTACTGAAAAAGTCACAACAGAGGCCTAAAACGGTACATAAAGAATATTATTGTATTGTCTTACCCAAGACAAGTAGCCCTCAATGGCATTTCTCAAGAGGAAGATATAACTAAATATGAACTAGAGATATATTTAACCTGCTTTTAGCCTCTTTCTTGCTCAGGAGACAGGATGACTTTTCTTTTTATCCTAAACTCTTACCGACAGTGTTCAGCATCTTGTAACAACTGAATTATGTGAAGATGAGACAAATTTATGCTTTCTTCCTTTCCGATTTTCTCTTCCATAAGGCCAGAAGCCATTCAATATACACAGCATCCATGATGGACTTGTCCACACTGTGCAGAGGTCTCCTTTTTTCAAAGACATAATTCTCACAGTTGGAGGCTGGAATTTTGCAATATGGAAAGAAGGTCTTATGGTATGTTCTTCTGGAATCAGAAGTTCCAGAGAAAGAAGTCACAAATCCATTCCAAATATAGCACAGGACAATTCAGAGAGATGCAAGAAACAGTTAAGTTGCAACGTATTTGAACTGTAAGAACAATTCTTCGTCAGGGAAACACTGACTTGCATAAATATTCCACATTATAGCAGAAAAGTATTTATGGGAAGTATGATGGTTGTTTAGCCAGCACACAGGATCCCATTTTCCTGAGATAATGGTCACCCTGACTGTTGGAATTATCTCTTTGTGAATGTTTAGGGGAGATGGATGGACGATATTCAAGAAGCCTAGATGAAGTTATGAGCACCCCCCCCCCCAGAAATCCCCTCCCTTTATATTCCTGGTGGGTATTTGTGATTGGAGTTCTGAACCAAGACACTGTAAAGATTTGCTGTGTGGTCCACCTGCCCCTCATCTTTGGTGATCATGGACTAGCTGTTGCCTGTGGACAGAGCCACCCCCAAGGCTTCCTTTTCCCCACAGTGAGCAGGGTGGGGGAGCCAGGCCCCACTCATCCCTGGCCAGCGTTTGGGCTCTGCTCAGATTTTGCTGGTGTTCTGCCAGATTTGCTCCTGTCTACTTGGGTAAATTCACAATGCAAACATTGCTTTTCTTTCTGGCAGCACTGTGGAATTTATTAATTTATTGATTTAATATTATTTAAAACATTTGTCTGCTGCCTAATGTGCCATAGCATCTCTAGGCAGCTCACAATTGGACATTTAAAACAATTAAAAACTGAAACAGCAATTACCCCTAAATCCAATAAATAAACGACTTCAATTAAATTGCAAATAAAATACAAGTAGAGGTTGAGAGGCATCAGATAATGTTTTTTTCAAAAGGTAGCTCTTTGCTTGGCACTGAAAAGAGTATAAGGAAAGTGCCAGGCAAACATCCTTAGGGAAAGTGTTCCAAATGTGGGGAGCAGCTGCAGAAAAGGCCCTCTTCCTAGCAGCCACCCCTCTCACCTCCCCAAGGGATGGCTCACGCAGGAGGGCCCCCTGCGTAGATCTCAAAGGCCTGGTAGGCACATATGGGTATAGGCGCACCGTAAGGCAACTGGGACCTGTTAATGATCACCTCCCCACCAGTATTCCTCAACAGATGGTAAGGCAGGGCCACACTGTTTCTAGCAAACACCCCCTAATTTGTATGACAGTTAAACTCGTATTCACAGCATTCTAACAAGTACTTGAAAGAGTCTTTGGAAAATGGCATGTGATTCTCCAATTTAAGCTTTTTTTCAGCACAGCAATTGCATTGGAGTTTTTAATGAGATGAGGAAATAGCCAAAGTTACCTGAATCTTTAAAAAAAATTAAAGAGAGTGCCAGGTGAACAGTCTCTTTTCTATATTTATTCATGCATCCATTGGCTTTTGCCTTTTCTGTTTTTAATTAAGAGTGGGCCACTCCTTGAGTCAAGCTGTGCAGCAAAGAGATACACTGTTGGCCACTGGTCTTTATCCAGACCAGGTGTTTTCTTTATTGGAAGAGAAGATGGAAATATTGACATTTGGGACCTACTGGAGAAAACTCATGAAGCTTCTCAGACCCAAAATGTCTGCATTGCACTGATTACCTGCATTAAACCCTGGATCTACTCTTGTATGTATTGTTTATTTTCCCACTCTGAGTGTAATATTGCAATAGATCTTTCTTTAGCATTCAGTGGTACATCCAGATGGAATTGCTACTAGCTAGCAAGACAATGTAAAAAAAAAAATAAATGAAGGCAATTCAAATGAAGGCATCAGCTTGTGCCAAATGTTTACATCATTGTAAAATGGACTAGAAAAGTTTGGGAAGGGACATGAAGGTCAGAGCAGTGTGACAGGAGCCAGATCTGGCACAAATTCTAACTACTTGCAGCTGTCTGTCTTCAGCAGCCAATAGAGCATTGCTGATAGGCCCAGGGCCAATTACACATTACACAAAAAAGCACGCCACAGAGCCCTGACAGCTTTCTTTTCTTAATGAAAAGTGGCTTTGTTATTTGTTTGTTTGTTTAAACTTATTTTTAGACTGCCTTAAAGGATGAAACGCTTAAGTGGCTCCCAATGCCATTTCATGAAGGGTGTTGGGGAAAGCACTGGAGAGTACGATTTTGGAGCAGAGTGGTGGGATCAGCACCAAATTCCATTCAATCCTCATGGGTTTTTATTTTGAAGAATAGCATATGAACTCAGTTAAATGATTTTGCACTAGTTAGTTTCACAGTCACATCGGTCAGAGTTAGTTCTACTATTTTTTGTATTTTTGTATTTAGTGGTAATTTATTATGTTCTATTGTATTTCAATGTATTTTATTGTGTTGTAAGCTGCCCCGAGGCTTCGGCAAGGGGCGGCATAGAAATGTAACAACAACAACAACAACAACAACAACATTTGCATTTAGTAGTCCTGTCAACTTTTTATTATGCTATGGACAATTTGTCACCCTCCAGGTGCTTTGGCCTCCAACTCATGGGGAAGAATCATGAGAGCCATGAGGCAAAAATTCTGGAGGGCTGTAAGTTGCCCATCCTGACGTACAGTTTGCACATATGATGGACGTTTTGCTTCTAATTTGTTTCTTTAGAGCCCAACTCAGAGGGTTCCAATGTAGCAGGTATTGGTGGGAAACAAACAGAATAGGAGGATGGGTAGAAATATAGGAACTGGGGGAAATGCCATTCCGTGAAACCATCCATTTTTTAGTATCACAAAGCTAATGAACATATATAAATATTGATTCCCAAAGTGAACATTTATGGCCCATTCACTCTCTGCACAAAACACTGAATGAGAGCGTGCTACTTTGTAATTGTTGTTTTCACAATCCCTTCTGCAGTAATATGTTCTGTCTTCTCTTACAGCAAAGCAGCACTTCTTAGCTGTATCCGATGACTTTGGTACACTGCATATTTTAGAAATTTCATGGACATTAAGCCACCCTTCCACCAATGAGGTCTGTAACCTGTGTCGTAATGGTGGGGACAGGCATCAAAAGGTTTTTGCATTGGATGTTCAGAGCATTACAAGCTGTAGTTGGTTTGGCCATCTTGTGCATGCTATTTACTGGCAGGTAAGTCAGGCGTGGCCCACATTTAGGCAAGAAATGTCAAAAATGAAGGTTGCTAAGTGAAAGCATAACTGTGCATTCACCAGCTCAGGATCAGTCACTGTGCAGAGCAGGTCCTGGGCGCTGAGCTAGGGACAGAGGACCACAGGCCCGTACAGCAATGAACTCTTGGGGCGGGGGGCGGACACCAAAATGCCATCCTCTACCAGAACAGCCTATTAGTGCTGTTGCTGAATTCTCAGCAGCAGGGTTTTGGAACAGTGCCATAGGATGCTTCCAGGTAATGCGCTTCGTGTGTGATGGCTCTGCTTCATTCACAGAATTTTACAATCCCCACTATAGCGTTCCAGTGTTCTTCATTACTTTGAGCGAGAGGTCAAACACCTAGAGTTTTTTGACCAGCGGAAGGAATTCAGAGAGCAAGAAAGAATGGCAATAGAGCATGAAAAGATGCTGAAGAAAACGGTAAGCTCTTCTGGCACCACTAGAGCGATACTGTTGCTGGTAGACACAGTCTGCCCAGTCACAGGAATAGCTGGAAATCCCACTGTAACCTTGGAAAAGTCTTGTGAGGACACAATTCTGCATCCTCTCAGCTGGTCTTGTTGTTCCTGCACTGGCTGAGACGCTGAATGTAGAAGTTCATCTTTTGGACAAAAGGGGGGTGCACCAAGGGCAGGGAGAGACAGGCGAGGCCCCTGCAGCTTCTGCCAAATCCATGCATTAACTCACCCTTTCCCCCTTGCAAGAAGGGAGGAAACATTCAGATAGCTCAAACTGGCCATCTTCACCTCTGGCCTTCTCCTGTTCTTGATTAGTTATTGGCCATTGGCCAGGTGTTCTTCAGACTTTCAAGTCCTTTGATTTACAAACAGTGAAATCCTAGGCAAGTTTATTCAGAAGTAAGCCACCCTGAGTGGAGCTCATTCCTGAGAACATGTCCATAGGAGTGCAGCCAAAGATAATTAGCAGTGTGTTTTGTTTTTTCCCTAAGAAGGAATATTTTAACAGAGTGCTTCTGCAATTGTTGCCTATTTACTTCTATAAAATGTAACATTCACTTCCTTTTTTGGTGGTCACTCTTTGGAAATTCCTCATTTAGTTTCACATTTTGATCTGCAATGAAAAAAGGTCATGCTAACACAATTCATGGCCCACTTACAAATAGAATACAGTACTGCAGTAGCTAATAAAGGCAGCTTTCTTGTAGACTAGAAAGCTTATTCTTATTTGGCAGGTTTCTGCAGTTTTTCATGTAATGGGGTGGAACAATCCTATCTCACATAGCAGGGGCAGAGAGATGGCACCATTGCGCTATCATTGGCATGCTCAGGCTGGATAGGAAAATAGAATCATGATGACAGACAGGCCCGCCCCATGAGGCCTCACCTTAGAAGGAGTCTTTCCACCTGAAAACTAACACAAGGGTTCTGCATTGTGGCTGAACCCAGCCTCTGGACAATATATTTGGAAGGATCTTTATTACAAAAATGTAAGCATAGAATCTAGCGTGTAACAGACATGAAATCCTTAACAGAATAATGGAGGTTTGCCATTAGTATATAGATAACATTTGAGCTGTGGCTTTCCTGGTTGGTTACAAGCAGCAAAGCTCTAACTTTGGGGTGTCCAACCTGTGGCCCATGGGCCGCATGCAGCCCAGGATGGCTATGAATGTGGCCCAACATAAAATTGTAAATTTGCTTAAAACATAGAGAATTTTTGCTATTTCTTTTTGTAACTTGATTGTACAGTTCTCAGGCATGAACTTTGTGGATGACAATGTCACGTAAAACAAATGTACATACGCTCTCGCTGTTTGTGCATATGGTGGTGGCAGATAGCATGAAAACGACCCTTTTTTTTTTTTTTTTTTTGCTCATCAGCTTTTGTTAGTGTTTGTGTATTTAATGTGAAGCCCAGGACAATTTTTCTTCTTCCAATGTGGCCCAGAGACCCAAAAGGTCGGACACCCCTGCTCTAACTCTTGGTGTCTGTTCAGAGTTTTGGACCATATCTGATGTAGCAAGGATGGTGAAGAATGACTGTAATACTGGAGCAGACATGGGTGACTCCAGCTGTATAGCCCACAACTCTTCGCTATAACCAGTGATGAAGGACCATGGGAGTTGTAGCCCTCCGCATGTTTTGGTCTACCATGGAACACAAAATGTTGTGTCTCAAGGACTTGAGAACTGACTTTTTTCCTATGATTTCAAACACTTTTTATTAATATTTTTCTCCCTTGCAGAAAGTAGCTGGTGGTCAGCGGTCAAGAGAATTAATGGAAGAACAGACCCATCAAGACTATACAGAGTTTTTGGAACTAGAGAAGAGCATTCTGGTTCGACTTGGCATAGTGAAGGGATCTGACAGGTTTAGTCCCTCCAGAGTGGTCTAGTTTTATGGCCAGCCACTGCTGTTATCATCACAATGGTCAAATTACTATAAGCCATTTAGAATGGCTGTGATCCAAAGATATGTGTGTGCTTGAGGAGACTTTCATGTGAAATGAGATTTTGAAATTATCCATGCAGCTGTCCCCTCAGCCAGAGAGACACCCTGCTGTCCAGTTAAATTAGAGCTATTCTCTTTGGAAGGGGAAGGGAATTCCCAAATGGTTAAATAAAAGATGTGGGTGTATATGCTGGTATTCCCTGTTCTTAGAATATGTATAGTAAAGATGCATGTATGCAATATATATTTACCTGTGGTTACATTATGTATTTGCAATACAAACATTTTTGCATTGAGATTAATGAATGGACCAGAAGCTCCGAATGCAAATGTTAAAAGATTTGTTGTTAGGTATGGCCACTAAGTACCAGCACATAAGGTGTAACACAAGAACAGAAAATGTATGCATGTCTCTCATGTTATTGGCTTTTATCCAGAGCTTCATATGGGACTGTAACATTGCTACTCTAACATTACAGCTTCATGGAGTGCAGATTTTCATGTATAAAACTGCAATGTGTGGAGCAGATCTTTGTAATGCTTCAGCTTTTAAAGTGACATACTGCAGTCCTGTGCATATTTACTAAAGCGTACTTCCCATTAAACTCAATAGGGCTTACTCTTGGGTAGACCATAAGCCAATATCTTGAACCAGTATCTTTCTAAGAATTGTTGGACAATTTTATTAAGGCAAGTATTTGATCTATTTCAGAATATTTCATATGAATGGCATATTTACAATGGCTCCAATCCAGAAAGAGTATAATTGGGTTTGCCCAACATGTTAAGCCACTGGCAAAGTAGTTTCAGTGGCAGCTGCCTAAAGTGCCCAAGTGCCACTTTGGTCATTGCCATGGGCTTCCTGGCCACCATGCGCCACCTCCCAGGGGCCCAGCTTGTGGCAGTCACTTGCTCCTCCCTTCTGTTGCTTGCTGTGGTGGTTTCAAGCAATGAAGAGGATTGCTGGGTCTTCCACAAAGGAGGCCCAGCAAAATGTGCCTTTATTTCTTGCCACCACAGTTGTGAATGATGGAGGGGAAGGGGGAATGAGGCATGTTCTCCTGCGACTTTCCTAGGGAAAGCTCCAGATCAAGATAAATTAGATATTAGATTTTAAAATGAGATTTGTCCAAATGAGATAAAGCAAAATGAAAAACTGTTTCTAGAACCAAGCAACTGACTCAAATGCACCCTTTTTGAGAGCACCAACTGGGGAGGCGGCTCAAGCAGTCAAAATGGCAAAGGGGCTTTTGAAACCTTAAATACGGTCAGACTTAAGATGGCGCACGCTTTCATGGGTTGAAATCCACTTCATCAGATGCCTGAAGTGTGATTCTCAGTCATATAGTCACATGGATATTGGTGTGTGGGAGGGTCAAATAACAATGAAATACAAAAAAGTACAGGCTGCCACAGTTCTGAGCAAAGCAAAGCAAACATTCACAATGATCAGCCTAGCTCTTATGAATTAACACCTGTTTGTTGTTATGTGTGCTGTGACGTCGTCACCTTATGGCGACTTTATGAATGAATGCTCTCCAAAATGCCTTGTCCCTGCTTGGTTCTTGTAAACTCCAGGCTATGGGGCTGTGGCTTCCTTTAATGGAATCCATGCATCGCATAGTAGGTCTTCTGCCTTCCACTTTCCCTAACATGATTGTCTTCCCCAGTGAGTCTTGCCTTCTCATGAAGTGCCTGTAGTGCGACAGCTTCAGTTTTGTCAGTTTTGCTTCCAGGGAAAGTTCTGGCTTGATTTGATCTAGGAATCCATTATTTATCTCTCTTGAAAAGTTTTAATTGATCAGTTTGACCCTGAAGTCTGCAATGATTGCATACACTCACTTGAAGAAAGATCTGCAGGGAGAAATTGTGGCACTTGGAAAACCTTGAATATCATTGCTCTGGCTATTTTAAAGGATTAAGCTTCAAAGTCAGTTGGCAGGATTTTCTCAATGAAATGAGGTGTGGAAGATGATCAAAGAGGGGCCATTCTAAAGAAATACCATTTGTGTGAACTGAGATGAAACTCTGAGAAACAAATACTTGTAAACTAGATTATCAAGATTTTGATATTTTTTTTAACTGAGTTCTGAAAAAAAGGGGGATTAACTTTTTGAGTCCCAGTAAGACATTGCAATTTTGACCTTCCTGAGAAGAGGAAATTAAGTAACAGAATGACAGAAGTTAGCTTTCAATAGCTATGTTTGGGAGCTAAATTTGACCATCTAGTATTTGTTTAAATACAGTTTAATGCCTGTATTTATTCAGTGGATTGTTGGTTTGACGCCTGTACTGTTTAATATATTTAGCTTTATAAGGATCTTGGTAAATTACACAATTTCATCCTGAAAAGATATATGTCTTAAATGCATTTGATTTAAATGAAAAGGCAGCTCCCTTCCTACTGCCAGTAGATGTCAAGAGAGGGAAAAATGCATTGCAGCTAAATAGATCCTTTCAAAATTATAGTAAAGCTACTGACTCCTTGCTGGGTATTCATTTTCTAAGTATAATGGCCTCAACCAGACTATAATTTTTACGATCTGTCCCTTACCGCTCAAGTCATCAGCAACAGATGTGTGGAACATGTCTGACTTCTACAGATGTCTGCTCATCTGTGGCCAATGGCATCTTTTTGTTAATCAGCTATGGTTCAGATGCCCAATAAATTCTTAACATGAAAAGGACAGAGAGACTGTCCAACTATTCAGCTTGCACTGCAAAAAGTATCTTTCCCTTGGTACACATATCAGCCATTTGCACTTCAACAGGAGTGCAGTTATACAACAACTTGAATATTTACCTGTGTGAATTAACAGCAGCTTATGCATACTAAGACATCTCACTTATTGGTCAGGATGATTGGTACATAATGCTGCTTTCAGCCTGTTGTTATGTTCCATATCTGACAGCAGAGTCCATCAAGCAGAAATTAAAGTTATTGTAGAAGGACGACAGAGTAAAATCTACACAGATGAACAAGCACTTTCCACGAGTCTCTGCACTGGCTGGCAAAGGCTGCTGCCAGAAGTATCCATATGGTGACATGGGCAAAAACCAGCAACAAGGGAGCACCTGATTTTGCTTTGTCAAAGCAAACGTTATTGTTGAAGTCCAGAAATATGAAGATATGTTGACTTTGCTTGATTTACAGCAGAGGAATATTTTCAGAACCAGGTGAAGGCCATTTTATTTCCCCTGGCTTTTTAGTCCTTCAGTTTTGATTTTAAATGTGTGCGTGTTTTAGATGGTTTTTACTTGGGTTATATTGTTTTATACTTAGAAAGCTTTTATATTTTATAATATACTTCTGGACTTAAACGTGTGTAAACTACGCAGAGATCTTTGGCTATTAGTGTAGCAGAGCGAAGCAGAGAGGAGAGGAAGCTAACATTTAAAAACAAAAATTAGGCAAGGACCTCAAAGACACAAATGAAGGCAATTTAAACTTATCTATCCCCCCCCCCCCGCCCCGCCAGTGCAAATCAGGATCTTTTATTAGCTCTTAGATGTGCTCTCTTCTTGTGCTGTCTTGGATACACATACACACAATCTAGAGTACAATGAGTAACAAAGAGAAAAAGCAAAGGTGGCCACATATTCCTTTTATAACCAAATCAGTGCTAGGGTGATACCTTCTATTAGGTCAACTCAGTGGTCACAAAAGGCTATGCAAGCTCTTGAGTTCTCCAGAACTCTTCATTCTGCAAGATGTTAAAGCAAAAACAAAGTAAGACATCTGGTCTCAGTCTTAAGAGAGAAAATGAGAGGAGGCTGCAGACATTCAACTTAGGCTGTACCCGGTACTGACATGGTGACGGGTTGTATCCAGGACTCTCCCAGAGGTTACTAGGAAGAAGAAACCATGGCTGAACCACCGTTAAAAAGATTCAATTCAGTTGTTACAAGGAACTGTCTTCATTTATACACTCAGTGTGGCATGTGCACAATCATCATCATCATCATATTTATTGTGAGTTTCATAAGTCAAAACAAAAAATGATGTGTCATACCCTTAAGTGAAATTTGAGTGACTCTATTACAATAAGCACATATATACTTGGCACCCCCTTATTTATTATTTTTAATTACATTGCATTTATATGCCACTGCTTTTGGAGCTGTGTATATTATATGTATAGCAAAATATGCTTCCATGTTTAGGGATATTTATTCATAGACTTCAACAAAGACAGCCCAGATATCCATATATGTATGCATTCATAAATCATGCCTAAGAACCACCTGTACAGAAATTAGAAAGTTCATTGAGTTCTTAATCCATTATATTATTTTAGGTGGCTGTGTGTCCATCCATTGGTATAATACTAGTGTTTTAGCTGTCAAAAGGGCACAAAGGAGCCATTTACACTGGCTATCTGTACATTCTTTGAGATGTCAAATATGATTCCTAAGAACGCATTAGTTTTTAAGGCAAATACAACCACTGAAAAAGATGGACAAATAATTCCCTAAGACAAATGGCAAGAAAAGGTGGATTTCTCTGTTCAAAATGTACCCACGTGACCGGAGTATTAGAAAACAGCCAAAATTGTGCTTCTTGTTGTTACTGTTACTTGAAAAAATCGACTATCATGGACAACAGCATACTATAAATATCGACCTTGTGCATTGTGTACTACGCTCACCCTCCAGGCTTTATCGCCTGGCAATTGAACTACCAGATGTGTCCCAAGCTTATCAGATTTAGAGATTTATGCTGTAAAAATCCTGAAGATCAGCTTTTGCAAGTGAAGTTTCCAACTATTTATAGAAAAAAAATGCAGGCTTCCCCCACCCCCACTTTTTCAAACTGGCTGGCTCATAAAAAACTAGGTTTCTCGTTTTGCAGAATGAACCACTGAAGACCCCAAAGAATAAACTCAAAGGTTCAGCCCCTATGAAACACATATGGGACCTCCTGCCTAACCATATGGTGGAGGAAGGGAGTTAGATCAATAAATGTGCACTTTACAATGTTCCATCTGTCAGCAGGCGCTCATGAAAGGTGGGTAGAGACAATGGGAGGCAAATATAGTGGGCATAACTCAGTGATCTTTTGCAAATGCTCCTCTTTTATTCCTTTATTCCCCAGTGCAGAATATGGGACAGCCACTTTAAGCACCAAAAGGGGAAACTGCTACAAACTGAAAGAGCTACAGTGAATGAATTGCAGCATGTAGATAT